ACCGATTGTTATCCAATTTTAACGACTATTTCAGTTTTAAAAGGGATGCACGGCGTGTAGAAAGTTATCAGGCAGGTTGAAGTCTTTTAAGTGGTTCACGGTTCAACTGATTTTAGTGTCTTGAAGAGTACTGATTAGCAAATGCAGTTATCCTAAACAGTCTTTTATATAGATTCTTGCTATGGAGCGAGGTGAAGAGAAAGGAGTTTTGACATGGAAAGTTGAAGTAGCGAATGCTGACCATCTCCATCCGGGGCATAAACTCAGGTTTTTTCCCAAACTATTAAATCTTAGCACTGTTGAAAAATCAGAATCCATTGAACGTTATGGCTGGAGGAAACACGTGAATCTTCGAAGATAAAGCAAATACTGATTACACATAGAACTCCCTAAGCCATTCTGCACATCCTTCCTCGGACAGTTACATCTACAGAGAAGAAACTCATCTTAGAGAGTGTACACGCTGCCTCTCGGCTTAGTTCCATTTCAGAATTGCTCCTGTCCACCTGGACATGTTCCACTCAGCGTTCAAGGATTCCATCAACCGCCTGTTCATTCCGAAGATTCAGCGATCAGTAAGGTATGTTTTGCTTCCTGCTTTCAAACCTCATGCTTACTGAGTGTAAAGAACAACGAGAATGGTGGTCATGGGAAGAATAGTAACTGTGAACACGGAGGGAGGGATTGCCTATAGTATTGGAACTGATGAACACTCTCCCGTAGTAAGATAAACTTCCAATATAGTTACTAAACTATCGGATTTTCTAGGCGTCAGCTGTTGTTTCGTGCTGAACAAACAGCTATCTCTTGCTTTGCTCACAACCTTCGACAGTTGTTTTGGCGTGAAGGAGTAGTCGCTGAAACCGTAGTCGCCCTGGATCCCGGTTTTTCTGCTTGTAAAGCAGCTCTCCTGACCTCAGTAGGTTCGTGAGAGTTTCCATTCTTAAATCTTTTGATAGAATCCAACAGGCTTGCACATCCCCCTAAAAAGCACAGGTTCTTCTTTTGAAAATTTCAGCGGACTGCTTTTTTTTTTACTCTGTGGCGGCTGCGTTTCTAGTGTAGTTCATTTATCCTGCCTTCGCTTCGGAAAAATGGTACTCAAAAAACATCACTCATTGTGTAGTGCATAGTTTCACTCTAACTTCCTACTAAATATGAATCGCTAAATGTGTCTGTTGGTCGTTGATGTGCATATATTTGAAATGAAAAGGACATATGTTGGCTAGACTGAACAGAAATATGGGGTCAAAATCTATGCAGAGTTTACAAATAGGACGTCTCAAAGGGAAACATGGTTTACAAGTCAATCATTGGCTTGATCAACATTTACAAGGCACCGCGTTCTCTGAGTCATGTTCGACGAGGAACATGGGACTCAAGAAGAGGTCTAGTAAGTTCCCACAACGCCACTGTGCTCATGTAGAGGTG